TTATTATTTTATCAGATTTGTCTTCCCTGGTACTTCTGTCATAGGTCTACTAGTACTCCAGTTGTCCATCGGCTCTAACAGCAGACACAGGGGCAACAAGATGTAAGGAAGCAATAAAGGACATGATCCTTATTGTGTTTTCTGTATAGGTCAGCTTTAAAGCTCTTTTAAACATCATAATTTACATGGTGTATTATGCAGGGAACAAAGAAGGGAAGTAATGAGGTGAGCGTCAATCCTGGGGCAGAGTTAAGGTTTTTTGGGAGACTCACTCCAAGTATTTCTGCCTGAAAAACAGGAGAGGAGGCTGTATTGTGAGGAGTAAGTTGGAAGGATTGTGGAGCTAGCTCTAGGAGCCTGATTTTCTTCTGCTTTGTACTTTGTGCTGTCATTTACATCAGTGCAAAGCAGGTGTAAAATGCTTCCCCATGAAAACGGTAACATTTTGTTCTGCTCTCAGTAATTGCGCAAGTTGTGGGGCAATGGAGAATTAGACCCTAGGAGCTCATAAAGCAGAAAAAGAGCAGAGCAAAGCAAAAACACATATTGTTGCAAATATGCAGTGCTGGTACTCTTTGCATGAAAGTCCACAGCAGTTGCAGCAATGAATCTCATCAAAAATGTTATGATAACATTAAATTATTAATAAAAGTTTGTGGTGTTAAAATTAATAGCAGCACTGAGAGCTGCAAACTGTCGTTCAGAATAAGCAGGGGACTCTTGTCTTGCACTAATAAGTAATAAGTGTCTAGAGATTATGGCTTCCTCTGTTCCCCACCCTGCCCCTAGTGTGTACCTGCTAGAGGTGCTAAAGGAGGGGGTGTTACTCCTCAGTTTTGGCAGTTGTTCAGTGAATAGTGAAAATATGCCATCAAGAGGAGTTTTTGTTGTTGTTGAAGTTTTTAAAATCAAGGATTTTGATAAATATGCCTTAGAAGTTAGGGCCTGACATGTCTCTGCAGTTTTTCCACATCAAGTGTGCACACCACTAGGGCTCTGCAGACTTGTGGGCAGCTGTAGAAGTGCTGGGGAGCATCAGGAAGCCCACATGCTGGCCTGTACCTGCAGACCAAATGCTGTGAACACTTCTTTGAAATTTCCTGAATTGCCTGGGTTGCAAAATGGAGCTTTTTGGTAATGAGCCATTATTTCTCTGAAATTTCTGGTACTTCCACTTTGGCTAGGACTGGTGATCTTCCTGGCTTTCTTATCACAGCCTTGGTCTGTGTGCATCTCATCCCTGTCAGTCGTGGCTGGAGCTGTGGGTGCCAAAGCCAAACAACAGTGGAAGTGGGACACTGGGCAGTGTCTGGAAACACTTCCCCTATGCTGAGTTTCCATGTTAGACCCAAACTGACTGCTCCATGTCCAGCCCCCATCAGGGAGCCCATCTGAACAGTGCTTAAGAAATGGAAAACAGACTCCTGAGCCTAGTAGTCCTAGGGCTACCAGACTACTATGGGCAAAGCCCACCAGTTTCCATAGCCAGCACTACACAAGGAAGCAATGTGAGCAGTGTCACATCCAGCCTGGGTGGCCAGGTAGCCAGGGATGATCCTGTCTTGAGCAGGGGGCTGGACTGGGTGGCCTTGTGAGACCCCATACAGCCCTACTTTCCTATGATCCTGCACCTGGGAGTGACCTTTTGGTACAAGCTCAGAGTAGGGTTTGAACCCACAGCTCAGGAGTGTGTGTTGAGGTGACTCACAGATGTCCCTTCAAGCACCCTGCTACTGCCTGATAATGAGACACCCCATGAACCTCCAGAGGCAATAAACCTTCAGCTGTCCAGCAAAGCAGTAGAGTCTCCTTCACTGGAGGCTTTCAAGAAGAGGCTGGACAGGCATCTGCTGGCCTTGGTTGAGAAACAGTGGATCCTGTCATTCATTGTCCAGGGCGTTGGGCTTGATGACCCTCAAGGATCCTTCCAACACTGTGATTAACAGCTTGGGTGTCAAAGTGCTTGGTGCTGGTATGTGGGAAATGTAGCCTGTTTTAGCTCAGAGACTTATTTAGCTTATTTTATACCCAAATCTCTGTCCTGACCAATTTCTTCTCACTATATGCATAAAAGGGAATGTACCGAGTAAGAAGCAAACTGATCTTATGAGATACAGTCTGGAGCGTCAAACTAATGTTATTGCAGTAACCCAAAGCAGGGGTTCACTGTGGTAGCAGTTGTACCTTCATGTATGGAGAGACCCAGATCCTCTGCCCCACTAAAGGGCTCTCAGTTTTGAACAGAGAGGAGGTAGGAGGGGAAACCCAGCAAATAGGTATAAAATAAGCTACTTAAATATGGCTCTGAATTCCTGTCCTCATCCCTGGAGGTGGGTCAGTGGAAAGGTGCTGTGTGCATGGCAGGAGGGAGAGCTGGGCTGCCCACACAGCAAGAGAGGGGCTGGGTTGCCCATGCTGCACCCATGCTGTGAAAGACTCAGGCTGTGCAAACAGCCAACAGATCTGTGCAGCTCACATTGAACACAGGATGAGCAGGTTTATTTTACAGGTGATTTGACTTTATTGGAAGAAGTGTTCAGGGCCCATTGTAAGTCTGGGAATGACATCAGGAGGTCGTCTAGTCCAACCCCCTGCTCAAGGCAGGATCACCTCTGTCCAAATCATCCTAGATGGTATTTGTTTAACCTCTTCTTAAACTTCACAGCCACCTAGCACCATCCCCAAAACATGAGGGGGAAAAAAGCTTAACTTACCACAGGTACAGCTGGATGAAGGCACTGCCAATGTCCCACTACTACAGACAAAAGCAGCTGGTAAACAGCTGTAGTTTGCCCTATAAACTCCATCTGACATCACTACCTGTGGATATTTGTTCTCCGAGCATTGCTGCCTGGGAAATTGTGCCATGTATTCTCTGTGAAGTGGTCAGTGACCATGTCAGGTAGACCTGACCAAACCAAAATTGGGTTTTCATTGAAAAAGCTTGGGCCCAAACACCAGCAAGGTTTGGTTCCTTTGGGCCCAAACACCAACATTTTCAGTTAAAAAATATTCACTTTTTAGGTTGAAACATGAAACGGCTATCTATTTTTTGTCAAATAGATATAGCAAATATGGATTTTTCACAAAAAAAAAAGAATCAGTTTTGATGAAATCCATTTTTTTTTCACCAAAGGAAGCAAAGACCTGTTGTCTGCCCCTGCTGCCAAATGCCCTGGCACCGGATTCTGAAGTGCAGTCACCACCCCTTATTCTTGGTGCTCGTGGCAGTGTTTACAGGCATCTGGGACTTGAAATGAAGCTGGGGGTGTCAAGAGATGCACACTGCATTAAAGGGACTTCTTGCTCATACAACTATCCATCCTGCCAATCCTTGTGCCCTTAAGGCCTGGAAACCTCTCTACTTCTATAGCAGGGCCAGAGGGGAACCTTCCTGCAGGTTTCAAATGTGAGCATTTGCTGTGGCTCCATCCAAAGGCACAGCAGCTGCAGAAGAGGTTAAATCTCTCTATTGAATAATCTATCCTGCTGTTTTGCAAGCAGGGGTATCTGTATTGATTGTGCCATGCTTTCGTCTGGTCACTCCTGGAAGGGAGCCCAAAACCCCATACTGCTACCTCTATTAAATTTCAGCTTAGCATCTTGCAAGTCTGCTATCAGGAAGGTGCAGGCACTGGGCAAGGAGGATTAGAGCTGCATCTTATCCTTCCCCCGGTGACAGCCCGAAGCCATGTCTTGCCAGGGGAGGCCTGCTGCCTACCAAGCAGAGATCTAAAAGCTCAGGGAGATCAAACATGGAAAGCCCCAAAGCATGTTAATGGGCTTACCAGGAGGAGATAGCCAGGAGTAGAGCCCTGGCGGGCTTCCGTTGTGCGTGGTGGGTGTCAATCAGCTTATCTCTCTGATAGGACTGCCTAGCATGATACAGCCAAGCTGGGGAGAAGGCACCACCTCTGCCCCTCAGAGCCAAGTACCAGGCCTGGCCAGGCACTCACCTGGGATATTAGTGCTGAGTGCTTCCTGAGAGGTGCTTAACTCTCCATGACATCAGGGTGTTGGGGGTCCTGGTGGCCTCCTAAAATCATACTCTGACTCTTTAAGTTCTGCGTTTTCATGCTCTTTATCTTATGACTTATACCTGAGGTGCTTCCAGCACTGAGCAAGCCTTTCAACACCTGGGCATGCGGGTGCTGCTTGTTCAAGTGATCTAGAGCTGGGGAGGGGCCTTGATAATGTCTAACCTGTGGCAAATTTTAGAGCGACAGGTTCTGACAATAGCATAATTAAAGAGGGACAAGCAGAGCACCAGTGCCTGCATGCCGGCTTAGCGGGGAGTGCCAGAATAACTGCCCCCACTGCCAGCCAGTGACACAGCTGCCCTGTTACACCTCTGGGTCTCCTGGTCCCTGCCTAACCACTCAGCTACTGAGCTAAACGTGAGAGGGCTGTCCCTCAGTCGTGGGGCTTGGCCTGGTAGAGATGCACATCCAAAGATGCGTGCATGGAGCCGCATTCCTGCTCAGCTAGCTCAGTAGATGCGTGGAGGCTCACCCATGCACACTGCCCTGGGAGTAGGATCACAGCCCAAAATAGCAGATACATGGCTGGGTAACTGCCTTGCCTGGGTCACTGACTGGCTACTGCCTGAGCTAAAGGACCCATTAAGCCTGGGCAGGCTCATCAGCTTCTGCATGCACCATTAGCAAGGCACAGGGAGCTGCAGCAAATGGGATATAGGTTGACTAATAAACCCAACACAGTTTCAGCTTTAGCTTCTCTCAAACTGATCTCAAAACAGGTTCATAATTTTGTCAGGGACTCTCCAGTCAGGAAGTGATGCCAGGGAGCAAATGGCCTCATTGCCTGTTCCAAGCACCTGCAGCTTCGCTGGACTTCACAGGGTGCTCCCTACCTCTGAAGCTTTGTGGGTTTGCTTTGGGCATGATACCCCAGGAGGCAAGAAAAACTTCTACTGGGAATAGTCCCTATTGAGAGCAACCACCTAACTCTGCTTGCCTTCCCCTGTTCCTTTGTTGTAGGACCGAGACTTCATCATGACCTTCAATACCTCGCTGCACCGCTCATGGTGGATGGAGAATGGGCCCGGCTGTCTGGTGACACCAGTAATGAACTCAAACTTGGCCCCAGAGGACCATCACGTCATCACAGTCACTGGCTGCCTGCTTGATTACCAATACATAGAGGTAGTGAGCAGCGCCATGCAGATATTCCTGGCGGTAAGGGGAGCCAGCACTCGATCTTGTCTTCTTCTGCAGTGGTTCTTGAGGGCGTTGGAATGAAGGTAGCAGGGACACAGGCCTGAGTTTCCTCTCTCTTGCATAAGCTTGCTCCACTGGCATTATTGCTGATCTCCAGTGAAAAAAAACTGGGCCTCCAGGGCACAAATCCAAAGTAATCACAGTCGAGTAAGTAGACCCAATACTTCATATTGCAAAATTCAGAAAAAGAGCTGAATCCGACCTTCCCCAAATGTCAGTGGAGGCATCTTTTCTCCCAAGAGCTGATGCTGTCTTCCTGTTTCCAGCCCAGCTATGTGCTTCTAAGGGGGTTGTAATTCTTTTCCAGTTGGCACGTCTACACATGCAGTGGACTGCACAGTTGTTACTATGCAGTCATTTAGTACTTGCTTAAGCAAGTATTAAATGGCTGCACAGTCCCAACACCACACGGCTATTTTTAGAAGCTACTGCACAGTAGCATCGGCATCATGGTTCATGCCTGGCCATGCTACATAGCCGTATCTCGTCGCTACGGTGGTATAGCGTATCGTGTAGACACACCCAGTGAGTTAACTAATAAACCTAACACAGTTTCAGCTTTAGTTCCTCTCACCAAACTGATCTCAAAACAGGTTCATAACTTGGAAGAATATACTTGGAATTACTCGAAGACACAGATACACACACATTTTTAATCCTTTTGCAGATTTTTTTGAAAATGTTTTTGCAGAAAAAAAAGAGAAAATGTCTCCATTTTCCCAGCTGAAACATGTCTTTCAAGGGCACACTGGAGCATCCTATACTTTGAAGTCTGTGTCATGGGCAAAAAACACTTGAAGATCTGAAATGCTATTGAGCCATTAGAACTTGTGACGTCTTTTCAATTTATTCATGGTATCAAACACCCTGGCCTTGAGCTCTTGGGACTGTGATATTCTCCTGGAGGAGCAGGAGAGGAGGGGGTAGCAAGTGGTGCTGGTCTTTTGGAAACACTAAAAGAGCAATCCTGGGAATTATCATCATAGTATCTTAAATTTGTTTTCAGCCCCTAGTTAGAAAGTGTAATGAATAATAATAAGGGGAAGGAATTTATTTAAAAATACAGTGAAATTTACCGTTATAGAAAAGGTCAGCACAAAGCATATCCCCTGCTTAATTCTCTCCACGCACTGACTCTCACCTTTCATGGTAATGGAGCCATGAGTATTAAGCTGAATACGTGTATAAAACAGCAACTTGATGACTTCCCTTTGGTTCAAATTGTAAAATTAGTGGATGAAGGCATGTAGCAAAGGTGCTAATACATCAGGGTGAGCCAAGCTGGCATATTTCAGCTGGTGACTTCCCAGTGTGTTATCACACATTTACGCCTCAATACTACACGTGAGATGTTTATAATCTAATGTGTCATATCAGCTCATCTCTGGGCTGGTGGTACTAGAGGTGTGAACAGCGCAGAGGAACAGAGCAGATGGACCCGGTGCCCAAAATCCCCCTGGAAATGTGATATTTTGTGCGTGTGAAATGTTGACTTAAAACTCAGAGTGTTTGCAATGTGAGCCAATAAAAGATCCAGGTGACACATTCCCAATGCAGTTGGGATCAAGGGCACTGCTCTTATCTCCCTGTCTGGCAACTTCCTGCTGCAGACGGTGCTAGTGAGTTGTCAAAAGGCAAAAAGTTGCCAGGAGTTTAAACAGTTGTGAACATGTCATTGCCTGGACTGGAAACAGAAATAATTGCCTTGAATAAGAGCAACAAGATCCCTTCTCAGAGATGTCTGAGGGGAGAGATGTGGGATAACGCTTTTAGTGTCCGTTTTGGGTTGTGCATACACAGCCTTTCCCACCAGTCAAAATAATCACCACCTAATGCAGCCAACACAGTGACCGGCTTTTTAAAAGAGAGGTTATATGTTTTAAGCACTGATTAAAGACACTGGCCTAAAAACAGAGGAGGTAGAAGGAGCTAGGAGCTGCACCAACTCAGGACCCCTGGGTTACCAAGCAGCCATTAGCCAGAGTGGATTTGGGCTTGATCCTAACAGCCAGTCTAGATAACGTTTCCTCACCTTGGCAGTGATTTTGTTGGATTTGGGTACAGCCAGGACATGGAGAGAGTGAGGGGGAGGGAGGTGGGGTGTAGGTAGGGCTTCCTTGACACTGGCCTCCACAGTTTTGTGTGCCTGTGGTAATAGGATTGGGGGCTTCAATGGCAGGCTGGCTGTCCTGCTGGATCACATGGCTATCTTCTGCTTCATCCCCCAAACAGCCCTGGGACTGAAGCCCATTTCATGGGATGGCCTTTGTGTCCCATAGGCAACAATGGCATCTTCTGTGTCATTGCTAAATGGCCTTCCACTCTCAAACCACTCCCAGCAGAATCAGCCACACCAGCCCAAAGCACCCCAGCTGTACCAGGGTGAGAGAGGGAGCAAGTGGGGAGCTGTTAGCATGGGATGGCACAGCCCTCACATTGAAGGGAGGGGTGTAAAAAGCCCCTGCTTCCATCAGCTTTATGCAGCTGCAGGTATTTCTCTTGGAGCAACTCCTGGGGGCTTAGTCCTGGTCTCCAGCACACACCTCCCACTTAGAGCTGGCTAGGATATTTCCACTGAAACCCACTCCTGCATTCACCAAGGCAAGTTCACGGAGCCCCTGACCCCACAATCGATCAACCATACACGCCTCCATTAGGTTCATTCCCACAGTAAGTGTAGGATCAGCCCGTACCATGAGTCTCCCTGAGCTTCATACAGTTTAGTTTTAAGTGATCAGATAAAGGGACTGCCTGCAGATAGCTGCATGAAAGGGCACATGTAGGAATGGACTCCAGCCATGTTTCCCACTTCAGGCTTCACAGACCACACATCAGGGATGTGAAGTACCGAAGGGACTGAACTAGACCCAACAGAGCATTGTCAGCTTGTGAGAGCCAAGTGCTGTCACTGACCTTTCCGATTGACTTCCAAGAGCCATTTTTGGCATGACCCGGTGACATGTCCCTCTCAGTAAAGCGATGAGGCCTTGCTGAAGGACACAAGGTTCATCTCAGATTGGTTTCTGGACATCTAACCAGAGTGCAGGAATAATGCTACAGGGTCACCTACCCTGATCAGGATTGAAAGAGGCAGCAAAGGGTAAAAATCATGGTATACAGAGAGACCACACAAGGCCTGAGCACCACTCAGCATTCACCCAACGCTCAGCACAAGGTGCACTGTTCTCAGTCACTCTATTCCACCACCATAATGCCAATAATAAGCTGGGCTGTAGTTGATAGGGTTAAGAGTGCAAAGATGTGGGCTGTAAGACCCCAGTCTTTACAATGAGAATGTTGCCCAGAAATTTACCAATGAATTTGCAGTCTTCTAAATCTGTTCACAGGGAGCACGTGTGCAGGATAAGGAGACTAAATGGCTCGGATAAATGATTTGGGCTGGAGAGCCTGCCTGGCTCTGACCCTTGCTATCTCCTTGGTTTCACATCTCTTGCTTTCCAAATAATCTGCTTTTCTCTCTGTTTTTGTTTTGAAGCTCTTCGGATTTGTCTACGCCTGCTATGTCAGCAAAGTGTTTATGGAGGAAGAAGACAGCTGTAAGTGCTTTTGCTATTAGTCACAGAGTGTGAGCGGTAGCATTGCAAAATAATCAGGGATAATGTGTTACATGGGTGTGCACGGCCACTGTGCAGTGCAGCAAGTGTCAAGGCTAATGAGAGGGAAATGCAGCATGAGCCTCTTCTCTCTGGTTTCCAGCTTGAAGGAGGTGCCAGGACCAAGGCTGAGACCTAATCCATCACAGAGGCAAGGCCTGCTTCCTTGCCTGACATCCTTCTCGAGCCCCAAGTCGAGACCTCTCATTTTGAATAATACCCTGTCACAGGGTGTCTGAGAAATAGGAGATGAAGATGAGATGGGTCCAGCCCCCTCTCTGCCTGATCAGCCTCCCTCCAGTCAGTTCAGGTGACAGGAGAAGCAGGAAGCGAGACCCAGAACAATGCAGGGAACAGGGAAGGTCTGCAGTAGGAGCAGGGGGGAAAACCCCATCATTAAGGGCCAAATCCTATTGTACTTTACACACCCAAATGGCAGTTTTCCAAGTGACATTTGTGGCAGTTATGCACTGTTTGCAATTTTGCTGCCCCTGAGTATGAGCTGGATTCGGTCATGGCATCAGTGCTTCCCTGGCATATGAAAAGCCCCTGACATGGCCACCCAGTGAGGAACTCATGAGTTCTGTTTTGGGGGCATGTAAATGCTCAGCCAGGTTTGCGGCCCTGCAGGCTGGACACTGCACACACGCAGATTTGGAAGGTAGCCCTTGCCCCACCAAGCGTACAAATCTGAAGCACCAGGCAGCCAGATGTACAAAATAAAAGTACAGGTCTAGTTAATGACAGTGCAGTTTCTGCTGTGCACAGAAACACTCTTCCTTCCCCTCCAAGCCACAGACCTTTCCCCTCCCCAGCATTCACAGTGGTCCAGATTTCACAAAGACCAGTTGAGAGGGAGACAGCACAGTCCATTGATATGCACGGGGGGTCTCAGAGCCCAAGTGTCTATTCTGGCCTCTATGTCAGGCGGGCTGTGTGATCTTGTGCTGCTCCTATTGTGCTGTGGGCTTTGTGGGATTTAAGTCATGTAGAAGCCTTGTTTGCTGGCCCTTTGCACAGGGAAAACTTCCCCCGTTCTAGCCCCTATCCCCAAGCATCAGTCAGTGCTGTACTTGTTAATTTTAAAAGGAAATACAATGGGAAACTGATGTGACAATCAAGTGCTTGCAAGAATAAGCCCTCTGAGCTAATACTCTGCTCTTTGACTAACTTCCCACACTGGCTCTGCCTCTAATGAAGAGGCTGAATAATACTCAATGGTTATTGCTACACAATAAGATCATTGGCAACATCAACCATGGCATTAGATTCCAATCCAACTCCCATTAGAGTCCAAAGAAGTCTTTCCATTTATTTCAATAAGCTCTTGGATCAGGACCCCATTGAGGGACTGCACAAGCCCAAAGTAGTTTTCTGGATAAGTGTCCCTGTCCTTTAGCTCGCACAACCCCTTCCAACATTCTGTGGCACATTTTCAGGCCCGGAGTTGACAGATGGCTAAATTAAGTGGTGGCCCATCAGTGCAATAGTATGGATGTTTAATTCACTGCCTTTTTAAAGCACAGTGCTATGATGTATGGTGCTGCAAAGTGCCACATAAAATATCAATATAGGATGATAAATAGTGACTGCAGACTTGGAACTTCCAGCATATTTTTGTCTATAGCAGGATCAATGTTTATGCACCTGTTCATTTAAGAGCCTTCCACTATAAATCTGAACTGCTTCCTTTTATGGGGGGAAGTGGCTTTGCTGATGGCTTCTGATCCTGAGTGGAAGCGGGGGACATTTAGATTTCAGGAGTATTTGTTCAGCGGTAGCATCTTCTTTGCATTCTGGGCACTATCATCTCCTAATAAAAATACAGGGAAATATCAGACTGAGAGGTTCCAACTAAACTAAAGCATTCTTCCCCTGTCCAGCATCTGGGTGCCGGGGTTGAACTATGAGCTGACATGATGCTGAAAAGTCCTTTACACTATGCAGCTAAGGGCACTGTTGCATTGGCTAACTCCTAGACACAACCCAGTTGAGTCCCAACACAACAGAAGAGTGGAGACACGCTCTCTGGAAGAACATGGCTAAACAAAAAAAGCCTAGTATCATGGTTGTGCTATCTCCAGCAAGCCACAGCATCAGAGTCCTTTTGGAGGCTGTATGCTTGAACAGCTCAGCTGTAGGTCACCAGGAACCCAACCCCTTAGGGCTTTGTAGATCAGAATCATGTGACAGCCATTAGTCAAATTGCTTAATGCACCTCTGGAAAGTGCTCAGGTATTATAATGGTGAGGATTATGTAAGAGTAGAAAAGAGCTAACACCTTTAACCTCACCCAGAAATCTACACTGCCTTCCCATTCACCCAGGTTTTCTATTCCCCCATACCAGGAACCAAGTGGGCCATTGCATTCATGTCTCAGTGAAGCTTGCAAGGGATGGCACATACTGATACTGTCATGTCTGCACTATGCTTGCCTTGGAGCACTGAAACCAGGTGCCACATTGGCTGGTGCAGCCTTCAAGTGAAGCACAGACAGAGAAACACAAAGCATTTGGGCACACAATTAAACTTAGCATCCAGAAGCCACCAAAGATCCAGTGGCCTTCAAGGATGTGAACCAAATAAAGCCTCCGTGCATGTGATGACAGATCACCAAACCTCATTCTAGTCTACAAAAGTACAGTATTGCATCATGCCAGAACTGTGTTTGCCTGGTACTGATGAAGCCTGTGGGGTTTTTTTATTTGACAGTCTTTGCAGGATTCACATGCACACGTATACACCTTTTCCATACTCTCCACTATGCAAAGAGCTGAAATAGCACAATGAGGTCTTCATCTCAGGGAGTCCACGAGCCATTACTGTCCTACAGAGAATTCCTTAATAACACAGGTCCTCCCAGCCATTAGAGCAGTATGTTGGTAAAATATTTAGCTTAAAAATATGGTTCATTTGGGTTTTATTTTGAGGGATGTGGAGGGTAGAATATTATGAAATTTACCCCTCCTTAAACTTGTCTTTTGCAAAAATTGTTTCCATGAGCTGAAATCTTCCAAGAATTTTTATGCAAAATATCTCCTGCTCCAAGGACAATGGAACAGTCCCTTTTTCTTCTGTGCTCGCATTTGTGAAATAACTGCAGTTATTTGTTATGTGGAATGCAGCATTGGCAAGGATTTCTAGTCAAGCATCAGGGCACCATGGTGCAAAGTAGACAAACTCAGAGCAGAAAGACAGCGCCTGCCCTACAGACCTTGTTTTCTAAGCAAACAGCAGTGTTATTGCTGTTGAGGATTTGTCTGAGCAAAGACCACAGCCTTTGTCCCAGTATTATGTGCCTTAATAGGCGTCTCTGGCTGTTCAATTTGGAGGGATTTCTAATAGCAGCACTTTCCCCCCTAAGGACAGTCTGATGATATGCTCCTTTACCTTAAGGAAAGGGAGGTTTGGATTCATTTTAAGTGGTACCATGGTGGGGGTAGGCATGTACTTTATAAGTTTCACTGGGCAGGACTCCCCCTTTTGACACCCAGTGCTTAAAAATACAACATAGCTAGTGTTTGGCTCAGCACCACTCAGCCCTGGGCATGCTAACTGGGTCATGCCCAGTGCCACTGTAATACCATCTAGATTCCCCTTTTTGTCATCAGACACATGTGGGATCGAGAGAGTGGACAGGGTGTGTTTTCACAGTGGAGCTCACTAAGGCAGTTAGCAGGAAACATGCCCATAGGCACATTCAATCTATGGTCACTTCACAGCTCCCTTTACTGCAGTCTCTGAGCACATTATAATCTTGCATGGGTTTATCCCCCTATGAGGAAAGAAGGAGTACTGGTATTATCCCTAATTTACAGTGGAGGTACACAGAAGCTAAGGACTAAATCCTATCTCACTTCTACCCACCCAAGTGGCACTTAACCATTGAAATGTTTTTGGCACCTAAATGTAGTTTAGATTCTGTCTCCACCCATGTCAGAACAGACTTGCCCTGGTACACGCGCATCTGCTGGGAGTCAACGGAGCAGGGCTCACCAGTGACTTTTTTGCACCTTGCAGAAAAGGAGCCAGAAAAAGAACTAAGCGCTTCCCCTCTTTGAGGGCAAGAGCCATGTCACCAAGGCATCTTTCGTCTGGCTTGCTCTCCTCATTCTGGTCCCCCAGTCTGCCTCCTGGCTTTCCACTGAGCCAGCTTCAAGAGACAGGCTGGAAAGTGCTCTGAGCCATGAGTAGTTCATGCCCTAATGATTAGGGCATTTTGCTGGAAAGGAGACCCATATTTAAGCCACCTCTGGATGAGAGGCCTACAACCTGGCTCTCCTGCTTGCAGAACAAGTAACCTAGCTGCTCAGTTACTGGAATAGAAGGCAAGAGGTACCTCCGTCACGCCCCATCCCCCAGTATTTTTTCCACAGGTGGATTTTCAGGATTTAGGATTTCTGCCCCAGAGCCTACAGGCCAGAGTGCAGCCTTCCAAGCCTGCCCAGAAGGGAAGCACAGTGTGAGCCCAGCTAGGTCAGTGCAGGTAAAATCCAAGCTCTGCATAAGTGCCCAACATTTAAACATGAAGGATCCTCTCAGGTGCATGAAGGTGAAATAAATGACTTGCCCATGTTCTCAAAGAGCATGTAGGGCAGAGCAGGACCTGTATGGAGACTTCCCACAGCCCAGGTACCTCACTAACCACAGACTATCCTTCCTTCCCACCAACTACTCCCAGAACGAGCTCTTGGCCCTGCTTCCCCTGTCTCTGGCATGTCTGCTGGGTGAGCTCAGGAGTACTCATCAAAATGAAATATCGCCTCGACCTGGCAAGGATTAATGTAAAATGACAAACTTGCAAAAGGCAAGTAGCCATGCCATGACAGGGACTTTGTGTGGAAATAACATTATACTGCACAAAAAGATGGACACCTGCAAAATCATGACCACACCTACTACAATTCCAACCCGCTCGATTTAGTTTTGCCTCTAGCTTTGGA